AAGAGAAAGTGGGCGTTGGGAGCTACAAGCTTGAGGTAAGGAGGGCAAGACTGAACACCTGTACGTGGTGTTCTCTACGAACCTGGGAGTGAAATATTCTCCCAGAGCCAAGTTCAGTCAAATTTTGCAATATCAAAGAAGTTGGCCCACTGGGCAATTATTCAAATTACTCCACCACGTCGTTTTTTCGCTCCCAACGAGATGGACTTCTACCTAAGTCTCATCAAGTCTGCAAGTACGACCAAGTACATCCTCATTCCAATGATCACACCTCTCTTCGACTGTTCTCTGGCTTCAACTAGTCGCCAGATACACGCCCATGCCGATATTTACACCCGACAGAGGAAGTTAAGCGTGGCGCACAAATCTGGGAAACAGCTCTTTGGGATGGGCGTGAGAGATTTCAGGACAAGTTTTCAAGATAATGCAAAGGAAGAATACAATCTCGACGATTGTGAGACTTGGAAGGCAGTGAGTTTTATAAGTTGAACTTTGTGCGCACCAAGATTTCTTTTGCAAGAGCGCAATTGACACTATGAAAACAAGCAAACAATGGAAGGTTTCGTGATCCGCCTCCTGGTAGTGTTCTCAGGAATGGTTTGAGTAACCAGAGCACCTACTCCACTTGGGAAGGAGACGCCTCAGACCACATATCGCGCGGTGAAAATCCAGTGGATGATGGAGGCATGTCTGGATAACTCAGGGTTTTTGAGACGTTCCCCTGGGTGGGTATTCACGGATGAGGGTTGGCTTGTGGTGAAGAAAAAGCCGGCATAACTTTGCAGTGGTACTTGCAAATGAAATCCAAGGCATGAGTGCTCTTCCTTTACGTTGAATCATCTATTCTGTACTTTTCTTTGATATTGTGTCATAGATAGATAGCTGCATATGCTATTCAAATATGATGCAAAAAAATAGCTTGAGGTAAGCTCGGCTGCGGCTCCATCTTAGTCTGGCCCACATCCCCGTAATCCATTATCACGTGATCCAGGGTGCTTCCATCAGTCTACCTCCAATTATCCTAGTAAGTCCGACCATAACAGAACTGCTACTCTAATGAGATTAACAACTCGTGGAAAAACAGGCGGCTGAGATGAGGAGCGAGAGAGGGAACAGGTCTCTGCATATCATGCTTGAACCGATTTTTCGAGCGGTTTTCAACTATGGAATGATTGTGGGCGCCAATACCGAGATCTCGGCTAATTAGCCAGGATGATTTCTATTGTTGTTGAGTTCACAGTAGTCCCCAGGACCCTGAACAGCACAAAAGGAGTTGGGCTAAGCTACCATACAGCAACCACGCTTTGTCAAGACTTTTCTGACATTTCAGCACGACCTTTGGAAAGGAGTTGGAAGGGGGCTAGAAAGGCAGAGGGTGAATTTCCCGAGGTACCCACAAGTCTGCAGTGCCCAGCTGGCCGGCCTCTTCGAACGCTTCAGAAGGATCACTATGTCTTCGGATTTAGTCCTAATGTTGGTATTAGGAGAGCTCCGTACCCAGTGGTTTTTATTAAGGAAATAATGACCCCTCAGTCATTGAGGTTGTAGAGCGCATTGATTCAAGTAACTATCAAAGTGAAACTAAGTACAGAATTTTCAGTCACGTGCAGATCAAAAACGTGGTCCACTTGATAGCCCTAATTATTCTAAATTCTTATTAAAATATACGTACTCTGATCACTTGTATAACTTGATAAGAGACACTGCACAGCAAATGTAAGGCGTAGATGAATCAGTATTGAATTGATATCCCACAGTAGTGATATGAGTTGGGTCTTATAGAAGTCCCCATCCACCAAACTGTGTTCCAATTATCTACTCTATTCTAAAAGTGTCTCATTCCCTCGTATAACTGAGAAGCACTCTGTCAATGACTTGTGTCATTAAAGAATGACTACTCCTTCACTTGACAGATCGTCTCTACAAATCGTCGCTTACATGACCCGGTGAGTACTAACTGACGCGTCTATTGTCCAGACAGTGCACGGCTCGTAACTAAGCGAGTCGTGTAATCCAATACTGGAGGTTCCATGTTCTATCTACTAGGACATGATCTGTTTCTCTAACAATTCTAACAGTTTTTGCAAATTTTCCCGGCTGCCATACACCCGCAAACGGCCATCGTTTCGTTGGCTGGAGAGGGGAGATAATGAAGGGCAAAGGGCTGCTCTAAGTGTATGATCTAATGAGGACTTGTGAGGGGTGGTACAGTTTTAGGGGAGTTGTATGGAAGGCATAGAAGGGGATCTACCACTAGTATAGGTATCCTTCGCCTGTAGGCAGAGAAGACCTGCATGACCTACATAGTCATAGACTCAGATAGGACAATAAAATGAGTAGATACAAAAATCTAATCGTGATTGGCTTCATGATAGGGGTTGTGTTGAGGGATGAAGGCGATACAAACGGCGAAAGCGATACTGAGGCCTTACGGGAATAGTTATGATTTTATTCGATTTCGTCTCTGCAGGCTATACGGTGAGAGCTAGAAGTTCGCAGGGATCAGTTTTCTAAACTTCGTTTCTCAGGCAAAATACTTCTGTGGGTAAGACGATACGTGGACGATGTGGGGATTGAACCCACGACCTCTCGCATGCAAAGCGAGCGATACTACCACTGATCTAACCGCCCACGTGTCACTAAAGTTATATATCAAATTAAGTCGAAGTATATAGCACCCGATCAAAAACGTACTTGAGCGCTTAACTAAAATGTGTAAAACTTGGAGAGATCTTCGTGTGAATGTCACGTGAAAGTTTCAGTGGAAAAGGCGAATATGAGAATGAGAATGAATGATTGATTCTCTGTGCTTCGAGTACATTGTCGATGGAAGGTGTTGTGGTTCGCCTCCTGGTGGTGTTCTCCGGTACAGTCTGAGTAGCCTGGGCACCTATTCCAGTTGGGAAGGAGACGCCTCAGACCACATATCGCGCGGTGAAAATCCAGTGGATGATGGAGGCATTTCTGGATAACCCAGGGTTTCTGAGAAGTTCCCCTGGGTGAGTATTCACGGATGAGGGTTGACTTGGGATGAAGAAAAAGCCACCATAACTTCGCAGTGGTACTTGCAAATGAAGGGGGACTATTCTCAACACCTGTCAGCGGTGTCCCCTACGATCCTCCAGCTCTCACTGTAGAGTCTGCAGAGCTGAGATTGAGTAACAAAGTCCTCACTTCGATGAGGATTCCCAATCGCTTTCGCGGTCTGTATCGTCTTCATCTCTCAACACATTCCCCTATCACCATTATCATGAAGCTAACCACGATCAGATCAGATGGTAGGGTCGGAGCTCTTCTCATAATCAAACCTTGATCACGGAGGAAAAGCCATCCGATGAGTTTCCGGAGCGTACCCAGCACCCGATACGGAGATGGTGGATTGGATCAAATTGGCCTCGACCGTTACAAAGAAGGGAGACATAGATGAATATGCGCACCTCATGTGGTCCCGGTGTCTAGGCCTCGCCTGGCTGGGGCTGCAGGATTTTTGAGACTTTTTCCCGCGCACGCAGTTTCCATTGCTACCATTTTTATTTTTTTTGGGTAGAAGGTTCCGCGGAAAAGGTGGCTGAATTCCACGGGTAAATACTGAGCTGAATGGGTATTCATCAAGGGGGATATATCAATGATCTTTCAAGTAACAAAAGAGGATAGGAGCACTGTACAAGGTGTGGCCTGGGTCAGAGAGGAGCCCAATGTGCTAGATGGTCATAGACTCAAGTAGTACAATAAAACACACACACTTGCAAATGAAAACTGAGGCATGAGTGCCCTTTTTGTAAATTGAGTCATCTACCATGTACTTTTCTCTGACATTGTGTCATAGCTAGATAGCTGCATATGCAATTAAATTCTAATGCAAAAAAGTTATGCTTTGGACATTGGCTCGGATGGTATACCACCGCGCCATCAATCCGCTGAATGCTTGAAATTATGTAGCCCAGACACTAATATGTCGTTTGTCTCCAACATTTTTCGATACTAGCAGGCTTTCGTTTATGCGTTTTCTCATCTCGTCTAAACGTCTTTAGTATCATGCAATAAATTGCACATAGCCTATGGCCTTTTAGAAATGTTGCTAAACATTATGTGCTGATTAATTCGCGCCGGGCTCTTAAAGATATTGCCTGCTGTATTCACTTAGATATGTCACCAGCCATGCTCACAACACACCGACTGCCTAAAGCAGGAAGTATAATTAGATCGAAGGCCTGGCTCACAACTGGACTGTATTCGCTGCTACATCTCAGGCTTGCGCACACCTAACGACGTTAAAAATCCATCAAGAACCAATAAATATATTTATTTTCTCCAAACTTCCTGTAGCGTCTCTTTGCATCGAAGTGCTGGTTTCTGAACAGTGGCCCCACGATTCGATCGAACTAGTTAACCAAGATTTTCGAGCGGCTTGGAAGACAAATTTAGACCACAGACCACGGCGTCATCTAGCCCATCAGACTTTTCCGAGTGAACTTGCTCTTTAGGGTACCTATTCACAACTATAGTTATACTTAGTGCCTCAGGTTTACTTGCAGATGTTTAGCAGCAAACGTCAGCATGAATGGCCAGGTAGGGAGATCCAGTGGGGACCACAAATGGACTAGTGGCAAAATTGAGATTTGAGTCCAGAAGCTTCGAGGGCTATACTCTGCCCATAAATTGGACTCTTCTGACCTCCTCATCTCTTTAAATTATACTAATACCGAAATTGGCACCGGAATGTCAAATTAAGATAAAGTATAGTCCGTCTTGTACATCTCTATCAAATTTAATTATCTAGAAGTGTACGTTATCCTTTAAAAGTCCTTCACAACATTCACCTACATGATGATACAAAAGCTGGCACCAGGCGTAGAAGATTTGTACTCTTTCAATGCCGAAAATGCTATGGCTCAGGCCTCTTTCTGAACACAAAAATCTATAGTTCCAACACGCATTTTTTGATATTACCGCTGACCAGATAAACAGGACAGTTCTTCACATTTCCTCTCTTGAAGAAAATGGTTCTTCATAACCCCAACAATTGGCATTGGGTGAATAAAGATGCGGCGCCATGGGCTAGGCAGTATTTAGAGGACAATATCCGTGTGTTACATGTAGAAGAAAATGGTGTCAGCGCCAAGCTTGACAAGTTGACGAGTATGGACGGAGATGTCGATGTGAGTCAACGTAAAGGGAAAGTTATTACCATCTTTGATGTGAAGCTTACAATAGAGTACTCAGGTAGGCAGTCATCTACGAAACCCTTCACCTCCTAACCGCATTTAGGAAAAACAAAAGATGACGAGGAAGTGAGTGGTACAATTACAGTGCCAGAAGTAGCCCATGACACCGAGGAACACGAGTACGTCGTACGTCTGCTCACCCACAAGAGCGAAGACTTCATCCCATTGACACAAGAATAGTTTGATATAGATATCAGTTCCAACTCTGCATCAAAAGCCCCTGTCAGGGATCTAGTGAAGAGCAAGATCATACCTCTTTTACGAAAAGAGTTTGTAAAACTTGGCCCAGCACTCATAGCTGAGCACGGTAAAGATATACAGCATTCAACCGGATCAAGTTTATCCAATCCTAGTGCTCCAATTCTAAAACAACATGAAGCTAACCCTGCTTCATCTATGACGTCCTCAAGAACTGAAACCACCTCGACTGTCAATACAACTACCGTGACAGATAATGAAGAGTTTCGAGCCCCTGCTACAGAGCTCTATCGTACCTTTATCGACCCCCAACGGATTGCAGCTTTTACTCGAGCACCACCAAAAATATTTGAAGGAGCAAATGTGGGCTGTAAATTTGAGCTCTTTGGTGGGAACGTTGCAGGTGAATATACTGAGCTACTAGAACCAACAAAGATCGTCCAGAAGTGGAGGTTAGACACATGGCCTAAGGGCCACTTCTCTCGATTAGAAATTGTCTTTGATCAAAACGATATTGACAACGTAACAGTAATGAGAGTAACTTGGAGCGGTGTACCAATTGGACACGAGGAGGTAACAAAGAAAAATTGGAAAGAGTATTATGTACGTAGCATTAAGCAGACATTTGGCTTCGGTGCCATTTTGTGACGAGACATTTTCTGTTGAAAGTTAACATCTTCAACGGTAATTAAGTCACGTGATAATGTGCTGACAACAGTTGGCTTTGCTTGTCATGTCTAGCAGTACCAGGTTTTTAATCGCAGTTTAGATATTGTGCCTTTGTGATGTATCTCAATTAAAAACCCGCATGCCTAATAATGTAGTAACTATTGTGGTATATACCTCCGCCCCCGTCTAAAAAAATTGTCACGGATATCGTAATGTTAGTACCCCCGTTACGCCTGATTCCTGAATCGCTTGAAATTGATGTATGCGATATTGACTACATGTGCGAAAAACTCGATAGGTGTTTGTCATACTTCAAGCTTGCCCGACCTTCGTGTTCCTGATGTCCGTCGCATAAAATCAGCGACATCGATTGAATGTCGCAACGTCGTCTTACGTGCGGCCATTTCGATGCCGTTTGCGTCTGCCTTGCTGTCACTGTAAGTGCGGCTGACTACCGACGGTGCGAGATGATGTTCGGGAAGTTTAGTCATGCAGCCCATTACGCGTGGCTGTTCAAGTAAAGCTTGGATCTCACCTTCGCCTAGGCCCTCGACACTACCCTTGTCATGACCCATGGAAACTTCAGCGAGGTTACCACCATACAGTTCGGCTTTCAACGTATCTTCAAAGCGACGACTAATAAGGGTGTCACGCTGCAATTCCTGGAAGATGTCTGTATCAGTAGGCCAAAGTCCTTTGCGCAACGCACTACAGCTCATCTCCAGCACAAATAAGCAGGTGAGGCTAAGAACTACAACTAGCCACCAACTCGGATTGGCGCCAAAACTGTGCAAGAAGCCGTCTTTGACAGGATATAGGTGGTATCTAACATCCGGTTTTTGGACGACTGAAAGTAGAATTTGCCAAAGAAACCAGCCCATTACTGTTATATACCAGCCGAATAGAGGCAAATAGGTTTTGTTGTGCATTTCGAGGATTCTAAACGTACTAGTATTAGAGAGATGATTTACGGGAGCAGCTGGTATACGTACAATAATTTGGTATTGATAAAGATTAAAGAAACAGTAAAGCACAGGGTTCCCAAGGCGAGAAGATTGTTATCATGTTTAGAAATAACTAAACCAAAGAGAGTGTACATTGTAAAGAATATTATTAACGACTCTAGGATCGCCATAATCATCCAACCAAGGTACTTTTGCAAGTTGAACCCTTCATCTCGTTGGCCTTGGATATAAAGTTCTGGAACTGCTAGTAATGTGGTAGCGTTCAGATCTTGTTCAAAAATTCCGATCGTGAGTACAGCGAGAGAAGTAAAAAGAGTATTGAAGACGGTGAGAGAGGTCGATTCAAATAGTGAGGTACCCGTGAAACCAGTCCAATTTTGAAAGATTGCCTGGAGAGAGTAGAAAACAAGCTCTTTCCAAAATGTTGCAAGGATATATTTTCCTGTTCTGATGTAATTCCATCTCCCATGTACCAAAAGTAGCTTCTGAAGGAAACGAAATTGAGCAATTGAGTAATCAGAACTTCTCGCAGCTTGTAGCCCCTCCTTTCCACTAATGCCTACTCCAACATGCGCCTCCAGGATCATAGAGATGTCATTTGCTCCATCACCAATAGCTAGGGTAGTAGACTTTTTAACTTTTGTTCTGACTTTGCTTACGAGAGAAGCCTTTTGATTTGGGCTGGCCCGGCAGCAAATCACAGAGTCGGCGAGAACGGCTAGATTAAAGAAAAGATCGGCTAAGAAGATATTGGACTCAATCTCGGTGAAGGTCTGACCATCGACCACGATTACTGTGTGAGCATATTTTCCTTCCTTGACGTTGTATAAACCATCTATCATTATCTTTTCAACGTCTTCTTTAGTATGGTCTAGGATTATTATCTCAGAATAGCTTTTGCAGAGCCTAGCGCTGTATGCAATATTGATAGCAGTCTCTCGCTTATCACCAGTGAGCATCCAGATTTTGATATTTGCCCTTCGTAGCTTGTCGATCGTTTCTGGAACCCCTTGCTGAAGCTTGTCTTCAATGGCTGTTGCACCACATAGATCTAAATCTACTTCAATCTGACCTCCTATTTCTTCGATAAGCTTCTGACGATCCACGAGACTAGTAGATGCATCTAGATATATATTTTTCCACCGCATGTACTCTTCTTCATCTAAGTATCTCACTCCAAACATGAGTGTTCTGAGACCTTCTGATGCAAAATCGTCAATATGTTGAAAACAGCGTTCGAAAACAGCGGCCTCATTCAAAATTATGGCCTCATCTACTAAATCATCTAATTGATTTTTTCTCGCTGCTCTTTTTTGTTCGCATGTGAAAGAGGGCCTATTCATGGATTCTCTGGGAGAAGCAGTTGGACTTACACCAACATTATAAGGAAATGCTTCAATATCACTCAGCTCTCGCTGTCTGAGCCAGGAATCAAGCTCATCACGAATAGGCTGAAGTGGGGAGCTGACTATACTGGAGCACTTCTGAGCAGTACTTTTCCTCCTTGATAAGTTCAAACTTGTGCGACTAAAGTTTGCAGTGGGGCTCTGTATGCTCATTCTTCTCAAAGCCTGCTCAGCTTCCAAACTTTTTCTCTGGCTCGATCTTCGAACTACATCTGATCTCTTTTGCATTGCAAGGGACGAATTTCTGAGCCTGGGAAGTATGACAGAGTCAGCACCCTTACATATTAAGCAAATGCTACCATCCGGAAATCGAACAATTATTGACATTCGTTTTCGTTTGCTAGAAAATTCAATCACATTAAGAATGTCGTACGATTCTGTTAGTTTTTGTGAACTATCCGGTGACCCTGGATAATTTAAGGTGACTGATTTCGTAGTTCTATTAATGACAAGCCAGCCCAGTTCCTGTGAAGCTCGAACAAGGGCTAGCTCGTCCGGAGACGCAGCTTGAAATTCAATTTCTCCGTCCTGTTGTAGTTCAGGCATGCAGGTGTGGCAGAGTGCTACTGAGAGTAAAAAGAATCTTGCTCTCTTGGTGAACAGACTATGAGGCTTATCTTTCATATATTTTAAAAGCTCCTCCGTTCTATACTTGGACGCATCCTGAGCTTTAAAGGGTCGAGCAGACGATCGCCAAATAGAGTCAGTTCGACGGTTCGATTTGGCTTTGGAAAGGTTTGTCGCATCTACGTCAAAGTTAGCATATTTCTAAAGTCTCAATTTTACATTAAGTTACCTGGAAGTTTTGAATATTGACTGCTAGAGTTTTCGGTGGCTCCTTGATCCTCTGCTTTGTCTTTACCTTTTTGCAAATCGAAATCATGTAACCAAGCATAGCCGGCAACACTAAGTTTCCGGAACTGCATCACATTATCTGTCAAGGTGCCTGTTTTATCTGAGAAAATATAGTTGATTTGTCCGAGATTTTCAAGGATCGTTGTAGTCTGAGAATTAGTTAGTAATCCTAATACTGCTAAGAAGCTCGGTGTATTAGCTTTAACTTAACATACGTTAACAACCATTGGTGTGTCCGTAATAGGGTCGTACATGTCCTCGTCGTTCATTAAAAACATTTGTCCAACCTAGGGGTTTAGTTTAGCCAGAGATAAAACATTGGCTGGGGAACATAGATATATTAGGCTTTAGCTTACCTTTATTATTTCTAGACTAACGTATAGAGAGAGGGGAATCAAAGTATTAAATAGTATGAAGAATCCGATAAATATTTGTGCAATATTGACATGAGCACCTTTCAAGTAAAATGAATTATCCTCTGTAGTGGAGGACCAGATGTGATATGCGATAGTACAAAGCGATGCCAACAAAAACACAAACAATACGAGTAAAATGACGATACGGTTTGTTATTTTCTGCATTTCTGGCGCTTTAATCCGCGGATTTTTATTGGCGTTCATCCGTATTTTACACTCTTCACCAGTATTCATTATCATGCCTATAGTAGTTGATGTATTTCTAATTATACTTCCACGAAAAATAACCTCTGTAATTGTGAGCGGAATAGTTTCATCACCGATTATTACACGACCATCAAAATTGTATAAATCAATATTAGGGTCTTCCACAACAACCTGAGCACGACAAGTGGCAATTTTTTCTGTTGTGTCGCATATTTTGGCAAGGGAAGCTGAAGCTTGCTTGCTCTTCAAATTGGTCTCACCGTCTAGTGCCATAGTTTCGATGAACGCAATACCATTTGATCCATCTGCATGAAGAAGAACAATATCAGCAGGTACGTGATCATTTCGAAGTAACTTCACAATATCTCCAACTTTTAACTCCTCCCATTTGCGCATTTCCCAGTATAAATTTTCCCCACTAGAGGTATTATCCTGATTCTTACTTGCCAAGCTCTGGGAGGAAGATTTTCGCAGTGAGGATAACCATTTTGGCCTCCAAATGAAATCCTCTTCGACGTATCTAGTTATAGGGTTCGGGATGTTAAGAACAAGAACTTCTCTCCTGTTTTCGACTTGATCAAGTTTTGACCGACGGAAATCATCATAGCCTTCTTTTCCAATACTTATTGCTACAAAGAACAGCAATGGAATGATGGTAGTGTAAGTTCCTGTCGTACTTAGTCCTGGTATCATCTGAAGAATTGAAATAAGCAAGAAGTACGCATTTGCTAACTTTGAAAACTGAAAAAATAGTTGACGAGGAACAAAATTCCATAGAGTGTAGCGACTCGATTTTATTATATTTCCTACGTATTCTCTACCAGTCCTTTCGTCTATCGGGGCATTCTGCCGCGACATGTTGAGCTCGATCAACCGTCCGTTTGGAGAAGGTGGTAGATTTATCGGCCCACAAAGTAATTTTTGGAAAGACCCCTTCCAGCCTCTTGCTTTTAAAATGAGTTTTTCTTTATTTTGTCTGAAAATTTTCCACACATTATCTTTAGGCACTATCTCAACATGAGATGGTCTATGTCTTCCATCTTTCCTCTTGCTATCCAGCTGAATTCCCATTGAGCCTTCATCTGAGATTGGTACAAGTAGCGCTTTGCTATCTGTAACTTTATGTTTGGAATAGGCGCCTTTTTTGGCGTTGGACTGTTTCAGGTACTCTACTTCCGATCCTGTTATATTTCGAACACTCTTTTGTAATATTTCACCCTCTGTACGATGGTTTGGGGGAGTGTGCGTTAAGAGATTATTAATCCCCTGATTAAAAAGTAGTCTTCGTAAAGAATAACCTCTGTGTCTATTCCGAGGTGGTGTTAATCCAGGAGAGCTCGGTGATTTTTGCGTATCTGGTTGTGAAGCCTGAGAATTTTGGGGTAGTCCAGTTGCTGGAGGATCGCCAGTTGTTATCTTGAGGCCTGAGTTCCGAGTACGTCTTCGATGAGTGGTTGGTAAATCTCCATCATCGATGTCCTGGGAAAAGCGCACTCGAGGAATCTCCTGGTCTGGAACACTCGTGAATTGGGTTTTACTGCTGTTTGTGTCTAGAGATTCGTTATTATTCATGGATATCCTCGATGGCTGGTCAGAATGAATTCCGGTCTCATCCGCCATAGTGGAATGATTCTAAAGGATTCATCAGCAAGACTAGAATGAGCTCTAAATCGAAGCAATAGAATGAAATTAGAGTTGCTAGTTGATAGGATAAGGGAAGTAAATTATCTATGATGCTCTGCCATGGGTCAATAAATAAGAAAAGGTGGACGATGCGGGATGCAAATGGGCGCTGGAAGGTAGGCCTGTCAAGCCCGGTTTTAATGAAGGATCGACTAGAGGGCGGTAATTTTCACGCAATACAACTCTGATTATTCCACACATTCATTAAATAATTCTTAAAAATTTCTTGATTTATAGGCATGGATAGTGAAGATACAGGTTTTGGTTATTCCCTGGACCTTATGTTTGGGAATTATGAGCCACTGTACTAACAAATGTTTACTGGTTTGAAGTATCAGTCACACGCTAACTTAAACTGAAACACAAGAGTTGGGGTAACCAGCCATATACATATTTATTTATATATGTTATGATATGATATGAAAAAAGAGCTTTACGAACAATAATTTGAGGTAGTTTCAGGTTCACAATCATGTTCCTTCCCAAAGAATTTGTTTTTGGGCTTAGCGCCCAGAATTTTGAAAGAGTTATAAATATCAGTTTACGAGGCCACAGTACAAATTTTGTTGCACAACAAGGATACGAGATGGCGTCGAGGTTATATCAGTAACTTCCGACGGAATATTTAGAAGTTTGGTGACAAAATAGGCCAGGAATCTTCCCTAGATAATGCAAATTACCTCTTGAACTATTTCAAACTCGTCCGATTATTTTATTGGATGGAGGTATTGAGGCATGATGGTGTAAATTTTTGAATTGATAGGCCGAAACCGACAGTGTAGTCGCGCATTTGGTCGTCAAGAACACCTTTTAAGTACAATCTGATTGTTTTCGTGACACTGATGGTGATTGTTGGATAGTAAGGTCGACACGGCGTGGGTAGCCTCTCTTAAAGGTGGTACCACACTTTTCTGTGGTTAACTTACATGCTAAAACTTAAAATCAGATCAGCCAAAACTATGTAAGGTGCCGCCGGCAAGGACGAATTCTTCACCTTCCAGTGGTGCCAGTGTAATCGCTCAGTATGCTCTGCATATCTAGGAAAGCTAAGAAGAATCGCATCCAAACCGAAGTCGAAAGCACTCACAAGCACATCTAAAATCGACGACTTCTCGTCAATGTTGGATCTATCATACTCACGCGAATCCTCCACCTCAATCTTACTACACCGCCTCGTCTTAAATACCGATAATGGCGTTACTCCAATTGCAATCGGGCATTTGCATCATCAGAACCGGCCATCTCCCACCAAACACTTACGATGCAATGTACACCCGCAAGGAGGAATTCAAGTCATAATCTACAAAGCTCGGGTCTTAGTCTATGGGGGACCGTTGCTCTGATGGAGCTTCACATCTTGAGGGAGGACAGACAGCTGGGATGTGGGACGAACGAGTGAACAGGTCTCAAATGAGTATGCTGGAACGCACATTGTTCGAGTGTATTCGACTTAAGATTGTCTGTGGGTGCAGAAGCAACGATTTCGGAAAGTGCAACCGACACTCTAAATACAGGCAACGATGGAAGTTGTTTTGGTCCGCCTCCTGGTCGTCATCTCCCCGAATTAAAGTCTGGGTAGCCTGGACACCTACCTCTCTCGAGAAAGGGAGGACTGTGAGGCCGTATCTCGCGCGGCGGCTATATACAAGATGGCAAAGGCATGTTAGGGCAGACAAAGGTTTTTCCTGTTTTCCCTTTGGTGGATATTAGCGGTTGGGGGAAAGGTGAAAGTCCTTATCACCAAGGTCTCGAGTGATATCAGCGAATGCACCCACTACATGAGTAGTCCAAACGTCAAACTGAGTTATCGTCGTATATAGTCGTCGGAGAAGCTAGTCTTCTCCGTGTCATGCTCGTTGAGTGCAGGGCTTGCGCCCGTCACGATTAAAATTTCATTCTTTCATTCTTCTACGTAAGGTGTCAGAGTACAGGGATCCAGCTGCTCAGTCTAAATTGGCTTACAAGTAGGACCCCCTTGAGAAGAATATGGCTCAAGCCGTTTATCACAACCTCCATAACCTGTGAGAATTATTGTACTTACTGTGTTTGTTAAGGTAGAATTGTCAAGGAATAGGAATGCTACTCCCATATTTAGGTACAGCAACCTGTGAAGCCTTTTTTTGCACAGTATTCCAGTTGAGTATACAGCTATCTAGCTATGACACAATATCGTAGAAAAAGAACGGAAAAGATGACTCAATTTACAAGAAGAGCATTCATGCCTTGGATTTCATTTGCAAGTACCACTGCAAAATTATGCCGGCTTTTTCTTCACCACAAGCCAACCCTCATCCGTGAATACTCATCCTGGGGAACTTCTCAGAAACCCTGGGTTATCCAGAAATGCCTCCATCATCCACTGGATTTTCACCGCGCGATATGTGGTCTGAGGCGTCTCCTTCCCAAGTGGAGTAGGTGCTCTGGTTACTCAAACCATTCCTGAGAACACTACTAGGAGGCGGATCACGACACCTTCCATTGTTTGCTTGTTTTCATAGTGTCAATTACGCTCTTGCAAAAGAAATCTTGGTGCGCACAAAGTTCAACTTATAAAACTCACTGCCTTCCAAGTCTCACAATCGTCGAGATTGTATTCTTCCTTTGCATTATCTTGAAAACTTGTCCTGAAATCTCTCACGCCCATCCCAAAGAGCTGTTTCCCAGATTTGTGCGCCACGCTTAACTTCCTCTGTCGGGTGTAAATATCGGCATGGGCGTGTATCTGGCGACTAGTTGAAGCCAGAGAACAGTCGAAGAGAGGTGTGATCATTGGAATGAGGATGTACTTGATCATACTCGTAAACTTGATTAGAATGAGGTAGGAGTCGATCTGGTTGGGGGTGAAAATTTGAGATGGAGTATTTTGAAACATTTCCTTGTGGGCATACTTCTTCGGAATTGCGAAATTTGACTGAACTTGGCTCTGAGAGAATATTTGACTCCCAGGTTCGTAGAGAATACCGCGTACAGGTATTCAGTCTTTGCCCCCCCTGTGAAGCAATGTAAAACTGCATGTAAAACGTTTAAACACTTACCAGTCATATTTCGCGGTCTGTATCGTCTTCATCTCTCAACACATTCCCCTATCACCATTATCATGAAGCTAACCACGATCAGATCAGATGGTAGGGTCGGAGCTCTTCTCATAACCAAACCTTGATCACGGAGGAAAAGCCATCCGATGAGTTTCCGGAGCGTACCCAGCACCCGATGCGGAGAAGGTGGATTGGATCAAGACGGCCTCGACCGTTACAAAGAAGGGAGACATAGATGAATATGCGCACCTCATGTGATCCCGGTGTCGAGGCCTCGCCTGGCTGGGGCTGCAGGATTTTTGAGACTTTTTCCCGCGCACGCAGTTTCCATTGCTACCATTTTTATTTTTTTTGGGTAGAAGGTTCCGCGGAAAAGGTGGCTGAATTCCACGGGTAAATACTGAGCTGAATGGGTATTCATCAAGGGGGATATATCAATGATCTTTCAAGTAACAAAAGAGAATAGGAGCACTGTACAAGGTGTGGCCTGGGTCAGAGAGGAGCCCAATGTGCTAGATGGTCATAGACTCAAGTAGTACAATAAAACACAGATACACTTACCAGTTATACTAGACCATAGCGCAGGTTCCTACACTGGCCACTACGCGCCTAGTCTGAACCAAGTTGTCCCTCATGTTTGAAAGATGAGTCATGCTCAGACGCCCGGGTAAGCTCCAGTCATGCTTCTGTATGATTACACTATGCCTTACCCTGTTTGCATCCCACAAATAGCCGCTGCACAGTGCGGCCAGTGGTCCGGACCATTCAAGCACTCACCAATGTTCCACGACAAGTCAGCATGTGCCCAGCTCCGTTAGGCATTGCAAGGGCCGTCCATTAGTGTTTCTTCTGAATTTTGAGCTAAAACTGGAGTTCTCAAATTTGGAACAGCGCTAGTCAATGGCAATATCTACTTCTCTTGTTCGTATGGGGACACATAACGACTGGGAAGATATTCAGCTATTTAGTTGTTATAATGTTCGGTGTGTTACATTTGCATTTACTGACTCTTAACATGAAAGGCATTCGAAAGACGAAGACAGTACACCCATCAGCGCTGCTCTTTACAAACTTTTGCGAGTAAAAGATTATCCCAGAGATAAGAGTCAATCCTTGCCTATGGGTACATCTGAAAATCTTCTTGATAGACAGTTGCTCATGAGCCGTATTGGCTTGATTAGTCACATCCCTGTCCAGGAAACGCTTCCTACCCGCAAGATTTCATTAAACAACCAAGACGCTCTCCGAATTTACAGAATGCTATAAACTCCTATCGAAAACCTCAAAAGTCACACCTTCGGCGCCATTCGACAAAATTGTAGAGATAGCATGACTCGCCAGTCTTTTCCCACACCCACACCATCAAAAGACGTATTGACTAAACCAGGGAGCCCTTGAATCGGGGAAATGAGCTGGAGTTACAGGCGCCTAAATTGAGGATACCTATTTTGAGCTACCAATAAGAGAGATCTAACGAAGAATACCAAGCCAGCGGGATTGAATAAGATGGATGCTGGACTGTGGACACTCGAAAAGCGGATAAAAGAGAGGGGATGTACCCAGTTAAATATTACCTAAGAGGACAGCTTATAGCGCTGAAAATTCCAAGTGTTTATTTAGTTGCTGGGCACTTGGTTGTGGACTAGGTTATTGAATGTTATCGAGTACCTAAAGACCCTTAAAAAATCGTATTGAATAAGTTTGCTGACAATATTAAGTGCGTAGCCTTGTGTGTTATGCCGTGAGCCGGCACGAAACTAAATCTACAAACAAACATGCTTGATATCGACTCAGATTTAAGACTTCGAAAAAGGGTAGTTCAAGAGCTGACCGAATTCATGACTAAATAGTATACAAGGTAATTCGAAATCTATGCGTGCTAGGATAAGTAACCGATATAGAGGTCGATGAGGCTAAAGTAGTGGGCCAACGACTGCTACAGGACTAAAAGTTGATAGTGGACATGACTTAACTTGTACAACAATCAAGATTTACTGTAAATCAGGTCAGTGGTACAAGATTTATGGAAATTCAAAATAAAATTATCGACTTGGTGGTAACGAAGTTCTGAGACGAACATAGAAGTTACTACATGAGAAATCTTTTATTAGATACCAGGCCATAAGGGTGTCCCAAATAGCGAAGAGACAATAAAAGGCTAGTAAAGAAGGATAAGCAGGCCATTAGGTGCATAATACGCGGAAGTTAGCACCAGCAACTACGAAATATATAACAATGCACTTTTAAACAAGAGCCTTCACAAAAAGTTACTTAGACTTGCAGTTCTAAAATTGATGCAAGAATCCACCTGATCATGCGTCATCGAAGATAGTGCAAAGGTACTTGAATTGGGTCCAAAGGGGACATAAAGATATGGCAGCTCACAAATATTATTTCAAACATTAAATAGCCTCACTAGTATATCGGTACGGAAGAAAAGCTTCCGTAGGCTATTCAGTGGACTGCTGAACCCCCCAAGCTACATGGTGACTACCAGATAGATAGTTTAGCCGTGAAGATGGAAAATTCTCGCGTAGATCAGGAAGAAAAGACCCACAGAGAGTTGACCCTGTAAGAGTAAAACTGGGCTCAGGAAATAAGGGAGGATAATTTGGGGCTAAGGAAGCGAGTTATCGTAACGGAAAGCAAGGGATATATAATTGGAGTTGTAGTGCTTTGTGGCCAAAGTAGAATGATGTGAGCTGTAAATGCAATAGAGTGTTCTCTATCAGTTTCATTTGCCTCCTGGCTTGTGCGCTGATCATGCCGGAACGATTTGGGTCTTTCAATCATAATTCTGGTCCTTTGTGCAGGAATATGTCTGTATATTTTGTGCTAATTAACTCCACCATGTGCCGCCTCTCATCTTTGAGGGCAGCGGATACTGACTAAATTCTACTTTGAACTACCAAGTAATCGAGATTCCTATTTTAAACCTTGGTGGAAAACACCACCAAACATTAAGCCAGCCTCCTAGACCCAGTCAGCTCTTATCTTTAATAGCAGTTATAAGGTAGCTTCAAGCCCTCTCGTCTCACGGACTGGCATTTCTCGTCCTATAGACGAGCAACGATCTATAGTCCAGGGTGAAGGATTGGACAGGCCCCAGCTCCGCACGTCTATGGTAATAGAGCGATTTTGACGGTCCAAGGAAGCGTCTACGTTTACACTGTCGCCACGGCCTCGGTATGGCGACAGTACTTCCCGGTCTCGGCCCTCTTCATATGAGACTGGGGGAGATGTGGCTCACGGACGGTGCCGTCGAATTGATTTCGCCCATTGCCTTCCCTCCCTCACCGTGACTCTCTTCACGGCGCCGCGGTGTAATTGGGGTGATGGCTAGAGGTGAAGGCGGCCTTCACAAGGTCACTCCTACCACAGCGGATCTCATGGCGGACTCGCGACTTGTTCGTGGATTCCATGGCCCGCCAAGCATCTAGTGCCCTAGCGCCTGCTAATTCACTCCTCGCCCACGCGCGAGCTACGCGTGATGGTGTCAGTCGTCTCGTATAGGGCCAGACAGGTACGGCTCTGGCCAGAGAGACCCCGAAATCCGGCTAGCCGGTGACCCTGTCGGATCTGTGCGGGACCCACAATCAGCGACTAGGCGCGCCGTCCGGGAAGCCCCTCACCCCACTCTGTCGTCCGCCTCGGCCCTTCCGATATCCGGCGGGGCAAGGCTGACTGGCGTCGCGCCCGGCCCGCCGCGACTTCTCACCGGCCCCGCTGGCCTCTCAAAGGCCGCACCCTCTTGGCTGCCATGACGGCCGTTGCGGCGAATCTGCCACCTTGACGGCACCTTGCCGCTTCGTTCAACCGCCGCAGGATGAGACATCTTGGCACCGCATGCCTTCGTGAAGATTCCAAAGCCCCACCTTCCCACCGTCCCTCACAAATGGGCCCTGACCCACGAACATGTCGCCAGGCCGGTCGCACCCTTACCCGGCTCAGTACTAGCGTCCTTCTCTTAAATTCAACTTTAGGACGTTTAGCAGCCCCGGAGGTCACCTCTCAAGCCTTGGCCTGGCCGTGACCAGTCCAGACCCTATCAATACATCGTCATGACCGATTTCACGGAGCGCAAGTGATTGTTGTGAATGAAATTTCTAGTGCTCTAACGTTACATAGGTAAATTCTGTCATTAAAAGCTTTAAAGAGCTGAAAATATAATTTTATCATTGAGAATATCCGTTCTCACGTCCTACCCCTTCCTTTCATGTGCCCTTTGCTCCTCAAGAGGCAACCGAGCACCCGGGTCTGATCTACCCTACATTTAAAAGCACAACGCGCCAGAAAAGACAAATGATTGCAAAAAAACGCTGTTTCAGGGTTGATGATGTAATTTCAGACAAACTCTTCGTGCAAATTCGTAACACCAGATATAGAAAAATGGAACCTGACCACAAGATTGAGGTCAAAAAAAGGCATTCCCGTGGAAACCCTGGGTATTATAGGCTTGAAATTTGATCCGCGTGAAGCGGGACGCTTGAACCATCACATGAAACTTCCATTTTAGAACGTCAACCAAAGCCACCCCACAACGCCTTCCGTTATCCCTTCGCACCACATTTTTGATACAATCGCAAGACTGGCTTGTTTATTTGAGTTATTAGAGGGGAACATTTAGCAATTCATCCGAGACTTAGTTACTGTATATCTGAGCCTTCCCATATTCTACTGCGACGTATCTTCAGATGACAGACTTGCGCTGTTATCTTCGAATGAAATGAGCTGATTCATGTCCATATCTATGACAGATTGATCCATAAATGCGGGAGAGTGTATTGGGATATTGATGGTGTGTTTTGAGTACATCTCATTAAGACCGTTTCCGTCATCGGACATGTTCGAAAAGCTATGATTCATTGAGTATACATCGGCTGATGGTGCGCGGTGCATGATTGACAGAGGTGGTGATTGGTTGACAATTGCTGGGTCGGGGTGGCTCATGTACGATAGGGGCGATGCGGAAGGCTGAATCATGGCTCCGCCTTGATCAACAATTGGCGTAGGAGAGAGGTAGGGAACTGCACAGGGTGTGTTGTTGTAAGAGGACCCTGTCAATGCAGCTGAATCTGGGCCGGGAAAAAAACCAGGGCTGGCAAATTCTGGTGGGGAGTTCGTCGTAGTGGCAGACAAAGGATATTGTCGGTATTCCATGTTGTAGCCGGAAGACGTATCAATACGAAGGTTCGGGCCCAAGGACCCTAGATTGTTGGGCTGCTGAGGTATAGGGGCAAAGATGGCAGGGTTAGGTGGCGAATGCGGCTCGCCAGGATGCTGAATGTAGAAAGAGGGCATAGGATTGTTGAACATGGAAAAGTCAATGGGCGCGGGTACAGACCGACTTCGCTGACGCTTATGACCGGGCCCACGGAGGTTCCGGTGAGCATTAACACCCCAGCTTTCCTGGAACATGCCAACATGGGCTTGGGCATTTCCATTAGGCTGGGATGCTGGTCGGTTCATAAGGCTGGGAGAGACAGGAGCCGATGCCGAGATCTGTTGGTGCCCAAAGGCGTCGTGGCGAGACATGAAAGGTTCTAGGGATACGAGCTTTGCTAGCTGACCGCTCAAGACTTTAGGATGACCTCCCAGATAGTGAGTCATGGTCTGAGAAGCTTGCTGGTCCTCGGTAAAGTCACCGCATTGAAAAAATCCGCCCGAGCCGGAGGAGTCCATGAAGAAATTGGGAGGTCGTGTCAGTTCGACAACCAGGCCACCAGGCTTTCCCGAATCAGGATCACCATTTTCGAGGTAGACGTTTTTAATGTACGAAAATGGGTACTCAATCTTGTAGCCAGCTTGGTCATTATTGATGTAGTAGGTCATAGTCCGTTTATCGGGAGAGTAAAATATGATCAGATCCATCGCATTTTGGCCAACACGCCTCCAGGAACCTATACTTAAGGATCTGCAGCTGAGATGATGAATTACTAGATTACAGTAAGCAATTGAGTATGGTGGGTTCCGGTTATGGCCGTACCAACTTTGCCCTGGGGGCATTGTTCAGAACCCATCATTAAGCTGTCATTTCCGTAGGGTGAGATTCCACAACGACCAAGAAAGCTTCCGCTCAAGGCTTTTGCGTTTTCCATAGGATGCATTGCCAAGTAATTACGCATTGATTCAGGAATTGAATCGCAGTTTTCACCCGTCTCAATGCTCTTTTTGGCTAAAAGCTTTATTTTGGCGCGTCTACAGCAAAGGTTGGTTTTGAGTGATAGTAATTTTGGGTGGAAAGCTTACCTATTTTGAAACCATATTTGCACGGATCTTTCTGTCATATTGATATCCTCTGCTATTCTTTCGCGGACGGTGGCAGTGGGTGTTGGGTTTTTGTTAAACTCCATCTCTAAGGTAACGAGCTGATCCTGGGTTGCGCGCTGTCGTTTTTGGTTTTTCTGTTGCTGCGTGAGGGTACTCTTTCTTGGAGGCCTGCGAGATGCTGAATTATTGCTTGTGGAGTTTGATGAAGTCGGACTTGGAGTAGATGCCATTTTGATGGCTACGTCTTCGTAAGACATGCTTATGTTGCGATGCAAGAGGAGGAGTAGTATCGGTTGCGTTGATGCGCATGCACGAGGAAGTTTTTAATAGATGGAATGAGCTGCCGGTACTGATGTTTATAAAAAGTCGGTAACTACTGTAGTTTTTTTTTCTCGGGGAGAAGGGGGCTTATTGAGGCCAAGAGAATAAAGGCAGGTAAGTTCTGCGCGGGAAGTATGAACTGGTGGGTGAGGGCGATTTAGCCTTGTTCGAGGTGAGGTAGCGGCCAAAGAGGAGTAGACGATTTACTGGGGGAGCCTGGAGCTAAGATTCGTAGAGTCGTGGGCACCTGGATTTCAAAGGAGTGAGAGGCGAACGACGGATAGAAGCCGAAAGAGTGTAATGATCTAGCCCGAAGAGAGTGGCGGGGAGATCTTGTTGGCAACGAAGTGGAAAAATGATGACGAGACGAGGAGCAAGAGCTGTTGAAGATGAAAGCGATGGTGTGTATAGAAGCTGGAGGGAAAGGAGGCTGCGGGAGGAGGGAGTTAAGAGACGTTGGCGCGATACCAAATGCGGATAGCAATTATGGGGCCCGTTTGGGGGCCGGGTTTTCCGCACACGTCTGGTTTAGAACGAATGTAACGCAGTTTGGAAAACAAATCACTACCTACGCGCATGCTCTTGGCTAGGAAATCCGCACCATACCTCTGGCCCTTTGCATCATGGGCCATGGCATATGTTCCCCTGGACGAGGGAGCGGCCCTCCCCCAGATACGACCCGAGTCAAGAACGTAGGCTCCGCTGCTGTCAGCGAGAGACGGGGGGGTGGGGAGTCGGAACGGCGACGGGACTGAGGCCTTCGCGCGAGTCTACCGTCTTTGTGAGTGGATGATCTGAGTCGGGATCTGGGGGGTTTGGCGCGAGTCAATGTGTGGCCGACATTTGCAGTGTTTCGCGAGCTTCTTCGCTGCCGATTCAGCACGGCGCGCGTCTCGGCGTCCAAAGGGTAGTGAGGACAGCGTCTAACTCTGCGCCGGCGCACTTGGCATGCTTCACCGTCGGCATAAGCGCAACACCTCGTTTGCACGGCTGAGTGGCCACGATAGAGCAGTCTAGGACTCTCAGAACCTCTTTGACTGGGGCGGAGGACGACTTGACATGTCCAGCACCGCAAATTGCCATCAGAAACTCGCGATGACGGAGCCAACTACGCACTGCAGACAGCGGCGTGAGTAAGTTGAGCGCGATGCTGAGCTTCTCGATGGGCCGGGGGTCGCGTCACCATTCGAACTTTGGGGACGAGGATTCCCTGGCCGGCGCAAACAAAAAAGCCATGCGTCTCTGGGCCCGTCGTCTGGCCTGCAGCGCGATTCTGATCCTGACGGATATCTCGTCCGGTAAAGACAGGTCTTTGGGTGTGGCCCCAGCTTGCAGCCTCCATGATTGGCAGCTCGTGGATCGGGATGAGCATTAGCAGGCGTCTGACTCGCCACCAGTAGATATGGGAACCCACATCGCTGAATCGTAGCAGGCTGAGCCCACGAATCGCGTCGGGGGCATCGATAGCTGCCAACCTTGACCCTATTTGCAGGCAAAGGGATGTCGCTCACTCCAGCGTGCTGCGCGCATCGAGGAAACACCAGGCTCTGGCTCTTGGATGCCGCGTGTGGACCCGGCTCAACTCGCCCTCGGGCACTACATGCTTGACGAGTGATCAGCTCCGTTACACTGCGACTGACTCCTCCCCGTCTGCTTCTATCTCAGCTACGACTTTGCAGATAAGGCAGTGACATTGGTAGCTGAGCTGCGGCTGCATGTCCTGATGCTGCTGCTTCTCCTCCTACTGCTGCTGCTCTATCACCGGCGGGCACCGGATGCTATGCCAGGCGTCAACGTCCAACATCCCGAGCCCGGACGCAGGTACAGAGTCGTTCATGTAGGCACCTCGAGCGCTGTACGCACGGCATTATGTTAGTCGCGCCCTATTCATCCCAAGTCCTGGTGCATTTCAGACTTCCCCTTTTCCACCAGCATCGTGGCCTAGCCCCTGCGCCTCGTCGCCCTGGACCCGAGGCCAAGGCACCAATGCCGCGCTCAGCATCCGATGCTCTGGGGATGCGTGAGCCCCACCGTGCTGACTCTCATCCATGTAGTCGGCTTGGAGAGCGCGAGCGCGTCTCAAAGGTCAACATCGCTAGTGAGAATGAGTCGTCGAGAGGAGGGTGTAAGGAGGAGGGCAACGGATGTTTGACCGCTTTGTCACCCACAATACCCTAGAGCCCCGTCAGCGCCGGCCCCGGCTAGTCACCCCTTCAGGCTGGACTGTCAGTTGACGAAATGCCTCGGTTCTGCACCGCCAACCGGCCTTCCCTGTCCCAGACGTCCGACGTGGCTACCGGGGTACACGACACCCACCAGGTCTAGGGGGCCACTGTGGAAGCCAGTCGAAGGGCTCGACGAACAATATGGATGCCGCTTCACCCTGATTCACGACGTTCGTTTTCGCATCTTCGCCTGTAATCCTTCGAGAGCTCAGCTAGGCTACGATGGTGCCTCTCACACCGGATCAAGCATGTTTTGGTGCCAAACGGCCGAGTCGCTCATCATTCAATCTACCTAACTTACTCGTCCGCACTTCCATCACCCTCCACCGTCACATCCCCGGACGGCAGCTGGCACGATCGGCCTCCTCCTCCTCACCGCCAGAATCACACGCGAGCGCTGATCGCACTGGGATTGCGCGCTGCGCGTCAAATCCAGACATGAACTCACGGAAAAGAAGAAATTCATGCCGTCTGGATGTACAGGTCGCGCGCCCGCTCCAACGAGGCGTGGGAGATCAGGGGGAATAGAATGCCAAGTAGACGCAGCCAGCGGGACTTGCTCTTTAGTCCTTGCTCGACTGTCAACAATGCCGACGCTCCTAGCTGCAAACACTCCACACGCTCGTCAAGTGAGCAGAGGCCTAGGCGCCGGCTTTATCCGACGGGATCGGTGCTTGATGACCTCGGCCTATGAAAAAGGCCGCCATAGTATGCTCAAGGCGCGCAAACTACAGGCAAGGCCGACCATCAGTTCATGTTTAGATGCGGGATGAGGGCTAAGGATACTACGCACCACACTTCGTTCCTCCTTCCCCACAATGCCCTCGCGTACCCAAACGCCATAGCTGCCCATGGTATTGGCCAGCATGACATCCGTCGTCAGCCGGTCGCCCACCACGGCAATCTGCTCAGGCCGGTCCACGCGCGTTTCCGGGTGTTGGCGAAAGTAGGCCATTATCTCCTCGCCGCAGCCCGGCTTCTTGGTCTGATGTCGTAGTACGCGTACCCCCGTAGCCGCCTCTACTTCAGAGGCCAGTTGACCCGAAGTGTCATAGGACATTGCGCCAGCCGTGTTGGAGACGATGAGAAGGCAGCGACCGGGATATGCCGCTTTCAATTCTGCAAATTTCGACTGAGTCTCCGTTAGCTATGCTACTGCTACTGCATCGGGATGGGCGGGAGGAGAGACTTCTTGAACTTGTATTTCTCTCGTAGGGCCATGGCATGGAATGGAACTTTTACCTCGTAGGGCTTGTAGACGGAGCTTGAGTGGGGAATAGCAAAGCAGTTGTCCTTGTCCAACACGACAGCTCTGATGTCCGTAGTGGCGGCAGGCGCTGAGAATGCTGTGTTCAATGGCATCGGTAATTGATTAAAGGTTGGAATAGTTGCTTGGGCCAGGCATAAATTTGGACGCATAGCAATGCGGAAAAGATGCAGAGTCGCAGAAACATTCAGATTGTTCATCACTGCCCGAATCTTGAAAAATCCTGGCCGTTTCACACAAGATAAGGTTCTTCTGGATAAATCTCGCCACGCCTTGGACCTGTTCACTGACGCTAAGGCCTATCTAGTCTTAGACTCAACAGGAACGCGACTTTCGAACTATTAACGCCAAATCTCTGGCCGGATGGTGCAATGGTCCACGATACAGGCATTTTTGAAAGATAAGCCTGCATAGAATATAATTAAATCCCTACCAAGTCTATGATTACAAAAAACTGTTAAAGCTATCTTTCAAGCTTGAGGTTAATTGTACTTTATGACTTAAATCTGTTCCATATATTTTGTTAGACACTGAAAGTCATGCCTGGATGGGCCTTCATACTTTGGGCTACTATGAAACTCGAGACTGGAGATTGCTTGTCTCATGCTATCCATGTTTGAGCACAGTATTTGCGGTGCCAGTCTACAGCATGACAAAGGGCATGGTTGTGAAAATAAGGGATTGGAGACATCTTCTTGATGGATTCTATCAATCGAGAATTTATTGTGTCGTCCAAGCACAAATTCTCCACAAAGGTCTTGGATAGGGAAGTGCAAGGAAAGGGTATCTCTACGGTCAGAATAACCATTCAAGTTATTTGCAAGGAATTGACCTTCAGCTGCTAGCAGGCTAATGAAGACGCGTTAATATGTCCTGGCCTACAATGTCGGCCTGGCACATGACCTCTTTTGTATATGTCATTCCAACCGGCGTGAAGCGTACGGCGTACAAGCGTCTCAGCAGCTCGACCCCTAGGCCTGCACGTGATCGTATAGGGGCTTACATGGCCGGCCACATCTATGCCTTGTCAGTCTAACCACGTTTGCAATCCTTCTGAACCGGGCACATGGCCCTCCACAATCCCTCCATGCCGAGAATTTTCTCGGATAGAGTTTACCAAGCGACCAGGGATAAAGTGTGGGAGTTGAGACAAGATCGTAGACCAGTGTGAGCTAGGCTTAATTGCATAGATTTTCGTTGTTTGCAAGCGAGAGCGGCATAACGTCTCCTGCGCTCGACGTCGGTCCGGGCTTGGCGGCTCGGCAAAGAAGAATAAGAATATCGGGGTTGATTTTTTGGAAGGAGCGACTCAGGGAAACCTGACTGCCTCTCTCGCCTCACAGAATAGATATGCTTCTAGAAAAATGTCCTGTGGGCTTCTCTGCCTTCCACTGTCCCGCTCGACTCAGAGTTCAGAGCCAGGAGCCCGCTGAATTGAAATTAAACGCCTCAGACTGCGCAAGTAATGCTGATTGGCCACTAGAGACGGTAACTTGCCCTTCACGGGAATTGCGCGTGTATTAGGGGTTGTGACGCGTGTTTTCCGGTCATTCTCCGTCGATGGACTGTAGGAATAAGTCACAAGCTTGTGGCATGGGCAGCCTTTTGCGGCTATTCCTTTGACTAGTGAATGTTACCTCTCTGACTCTTTCCGTGAACTTGAAAATTTCATTGGGCCGCGCATACGCGAAAGTTCGAGCTGCTGTCTCGACATCCACGACCTATTCCACCACGATCCGTCTGCCAGGGCCATGTGGGGGATCGTCTACACGACAGTGCATCTGCCAAACTGTCGCGTCCAAGCAGGCGTCACTCGACATGACTGGGTCTCCCGCCTCTATGCTTTATGCTGAATCTGACTTTGATCTGTACCTTGGCTAGGAATTCACTGCCTCACTCCTTGGCTGAATCGTCGCTAATTAGAATTTTCCATCCGGTCTATCTATCATGCAGTCGGCATAAACAGGTGCCACTGCCATTTATGATGGCATGGACCTCAGCCGCGGCGGCAAGATTATTTACGCCTTGTGACGACGGATTATTTGCCTGAGGCTTATATTCATCATGTTCATGTGTCTCTGATGGCCAAGGTGAAACTGCGTTGGGCATGTTCGTAAAGGCGGCTAGATCCCGTGCTATCGCGGCGGCCTATAATAAATTATTCCGTCAGCGGAGACTTGAAGTTATCTGAGACATTTACCGGGCGACAGTAGAAATTATGATTCCTCAAGGTGACTATTCTAAATAACTTTCAGTGATATCCCATACTAACCTCCAGCTCGATCTGTATTATCTGCAGAGCCGAGATTGAGTAACACCTTTTTCCTCACTTTGATGAGGTTTCTCAATCGCTTTCGCCATCTATATCGTCTTCATCTTTCAACATGACTCCTTACCACCATTATCATGAAGCTAACCATCATCAGGTTAGATGCTAGAGTCTGAACCCTACACATCACCAACCCTTATTATCATTATTATTATCCATTTCTATCCTTTTGAATCACTAACCCTTGATCATGGAGGAGAAGCCATCCGAAGGGTTTCCGGAGCGTACCAAGCACCAGATGCGGGGATGGTAGATTGGATCAAGTTGGCTTCTAATATTATTAAGAAGGGAGATGTAGATGGATATGCGCACCTCACGTGGCCCCAGTATTTAAGCCTCGCCTGGCTGGGCCTGCAGATTTCTCAAGACTTTTTTATTCACTTTGGATGAGAGGTTGCGCAGAAAAGGAAAATGAATTTCACGGCTAAACACTGATTTGAACGGCAATTCATCACGGGCATTACCTTAATGATCTTTCAAGCAACAGAAGATGGTAGGGGCACTGCACAAGTTGTGACCTGGGCCAGAGAGGGGCCCAATGTGCTAGTTAGTCTATTATTCAAGTAGTCAATAAACACATTTCTCTTCCATGTTTCCCCGCCCATACCCACGCCCACGCAAAGTTGACATCCATTCTGCCTCATGTGGCATGGGACAGGTTGAGATGGAGACATTCCCCAATCTGTTGATGCTCGGTATAATTCATGCATTTCTGGGTGGTTTACATGGCGGATTGCGTCGGCCAAGGTCACTGGCCGGCCTGGACTGCAGGGACTTGCACCGCTTCCGGTACCGTGTTTGTTCGCCTCAGGGAAAACTCAAACACCACGCGGCATCCACTACGTGCTAGGGAATCCCTTCAACATATTTATAGCTCACAGTCGATAAGCCCCGATGGATTGGAAGAGATATCATCATTACTCGAGCCGTTGGTGTGGCCAGGCTATTTGGGTCTTCTCTAATGATATCTACATCAATCACAAACTACGGCGCTATCTACCCAGCCTTACCCTATAGATTTACCTCATACCTGGTCCAATAGCATATTTTGACATCATTGTATATTTAACTACGACGCATGTTCAATACCCTTTGTACGAGTTAAATGTCGTCTTGGACGTCAAAAATACTCAAGCTCTGCATTTCATGTTCAAATACCACTGTGAGGTAAGTTTGTTGAATCTGAACAGCAGACTCTCGTCCGCGACCACGCGCCAGAGTGGAAGTTCATGCCTTTTATCTGAGTATGCTTTCTTTATCTCGGACATGAATACTGCGGTAAATACGGCCGAGACGGTGCATTTTAAACAGCATTCTCACATTTTAGGTGGGATACATGAACGAGTTATTCCGAATCTACTTGATAGACTGGGCCGGATGATACACCACTAAACCATCAGACCATGATAGTGTTAAAAATGTCGCTTGCAAGTCTGCAATCGAGTTCGTGTAGCGCACAATGCTCAATTTAAAAAACTCCTTTCCAAAAATTTAACCTCTACCTCCACCTTACTTGTGTTCCTCATCAATATCCTCTTGCCCATCTTTCCTGATATCTCTCACGTCTATCCCAAAGGTCTGCATCCCAAATATATTCTCCTGCAAGTATTCTTATTTTTGTGGAATTGTATGTGGAGACCAGAATTTGGGCAGACTAGAAGTGTGGTCGTTGAAGTAAGGCTGTATTAGGTCGTAGTTATAGAATTGATTGGGCTTTAGTCGGAATCAATCTTGTTGAGAGTGAGAGATGGAAGTCGAGAGTCACTTCGTCACGGATCAAAATCTAAACTGTGAAGCCTGATTGAAGTCGTCTTCAAAGGAATATTTCACCCTTAGGATCGTGGAGTACATGTCTCCCTGCAGACTGCCACAAGCGAATATCTGGCAGGGCAAGACGGAACACCTGTACGCGGTGTCCTCTACGAACCTGGGAGGGAAATATTCTCCCAGAGCCAAGTTCAGTCAAATTTCGCAATATCAAAGAAGTTGGCTCTCGAGGCAAAAATTCAAATTACTCCACCATGTCAATCTTTCACTTCCAAAGAGTCCGATTCTCTACTAAGCTTCATCAAGTCTACAAGTACGACCAAGTACATCCTCGTTTCAATGACCACACCTCTCGTCGACTTTCTCTGGCCTCAGCCGGTCACCAAATACACGCCCACGCCGATATTTACACCCGACGGAGGAAGCAAAGCGTGGAGCACAAATCTGGGAGATAGCTCTTTGGGATGGACATGAGAGGGATCAGGACAAGTTTACAAGATGATGCAGAAGAGGGGTACATTCTCGACGGGCGTGAAATTTCGAATTTTGACAAGAGTTTTACGAATTGGGCTTTGTGCGCGCCAAGACTTCGCTTGCGAGAGTGCAGCTGACACTATAAAAACAAGCCGACGATGGAAGGTGTTGTGATCCGCCTCCTGGCGGTGTTCTCTGGTATGGTTTGAGTAGCCTGGGCACCTACTCCACTTGAGAAGGAGACATCTCAGATAAAATTTCGCGCGGAGAAAAGTTGATGGATGACGGAGGCATGTCTGGATAACTCAGGGTTTCTGAGATGTTCCCCTGGGTGAGTATTCACGGATGAGGGTTGACTTTGGGTGAAGAAAATGCTTCCATAACTTCGCAGTGGTACCTGCAAATGAAATCTGAGGCATGAGTGCTACTCTTGTAAATTGAATCATCTTTTCTGTACTTTTCTTTGATATTGTGTCATAGCTAGACAGCTGCATACGTAATTAAAATCTGATGTAAAAAAAAAAAAAAAAAAAAAGCGAATAGCTGTACTCAACAAAGGCAAGAAATAACTGCCACTGGAATATGGATTCTCCCCGGGTCCTTTTGTGTGAATTTCTAGTTGTCATAAAT